GCGGTACAAGGGGTATACCTGATGTTATGGCCCATGAGTTTGAGTGCCCATTTGGAGATTCGTCCCACGGCGTCGCGGTTGCAGATGATGTCTCTAAGCGGGTATGAAGTGACGACCGCAACTTCGTGGTCGGTGAAGTAGTGCAGGAGCTTCCTGGTCGCCATTAGTACGGCGTATAGGAGCTTCTGCACCTGGGGGTACCGGACCTTAGGGTCGGTAAGTACCTCCCCAACGAAGTATACGGGTCGCTAGACCTTGAGCTGGTGTCCCGGTTCCTCCCTTTCGATGATCAGGGCGGCACTCACAACATGGTTGCTTGCCGCGACGTACAGGAGGAGGGGTTCTCCCCGTTTGGGAGCGACGAGGATCGGGGCCAATGTCAGAGATGCTTTGAGGCTTTCTAGAGCCTGCTGGGCTTCCTTAGTCCAAACGAAGGCGTTCGTCTTTTTGAGGAGCTTGTAGAGCGGCATCCCCTGTTCGTCGAGCCAGGAAATGAAGCGGCTCAGGGCAGCCAGACAGCCGGTGAGCCTTTGTACGCCCTTGACGTTACGTATGGGGCCCATGTTGGAAATGGCCACGATTTTTTTGGGGTTGGCCTCGATGCCGCGCTCGGACACGATGTATCCAAGCAGCTTCCCCTTCAGAACCCCGAAAACATATTTTTTAGGATTTAGCTTGATGTTGAACCTTCGGAGGTTCATGAATGTTGCGATCAGGTCGTGAGCTTGAGCCATTTTGCCCACAATGTCATCAGCGTAGATGGCGATCATTGGTTTCGGCCGCTCGGCTTAATCAGGCTGATCGAGCGGGTCGATTTGGTCGGCAAAGCATTGCTGCATGCACCTTTGGTAGGTGGCGCCAGCATTCTTCAAGCCGAAAGGCATGGTCACATAGCAGTACGAACCATACGGGGTGATGAACGAGGTCGCGAGCTGATCGGATTCTTTCATCGCGATCTGGTGATAACTTGAGTAGGCATCCAGAAAGGAGAGGATCTTGCAACCCGAGGTGGAGTTGACTATCTGGTCTATGTGTGGCAAAGAAAAGTGATCCTTTGGACATGCTTTGTTGAGGCCAGTATAATCAACACACATTCTCTACTTCCCGATCTTCTTTTTAACAAGAATGGGATTGGCAAGACAGTCGGAGTGGACTGCCTCTCTGATGAATCAGGCTACCAGGAGTTTGGCGATCTCCTCGCCTATGGACCTACGTCTCTCGTCATCGAAGCGACGCAGGCGCTGCTTGGCAGGCTTCGAGCCCAAGATGAGGCACAGTGCGTGCTCGGTGACCTCCCACGGTATGCCCAGCATGTCAGAAGGCTGCCATGTGAGGACATCGTGATTGGCTCGCAGGAAGTCGACGAGCTCGCATTCCTATTTGGCCGAGAGCTGGGTCCCGATCCGCACCGTTTTGGTTGGGTTGGTGGGGTCGATACCCACCGCCTTGGTTTCCTTGAGCGGACGGAAGGCCGTCGAGGAGGTCGGTTTGTTGTAGTCCGGGACTACTAGGGTTGATGACTCCCTGAGCCACGGGAGCTCAGACGAGTTGATGACTGCGGTGGCGAGCTCGAAATGCTCACGGTCGCACGTGAAGGCGTGCGAGAAGGCACTACTTACAGTGATAACGCTGTTTGGTCCTGGCATCTTCAGCTTGAGGTAGGTGTAGTTGGGGATCGCCATGAATTTGGCGTAGCATGGACGCCGCAAGATAGCGTGGTAGGACCCTAAAAAGTCCACCACTTCGAAGGTGAGGACCTCCGAGCGGAAGTTGGCTCGTTTGTCAAACGTGACAAGTAGATCGATTTGCCCGAGTAGGTATGCCTGCGCTCCTAGGATCACCCCGTGGAAGGGAGAACCAGCTAGGCAGAGTTCCGACCGGGGAATGCGCATGGCGTCGATGATGAGCGGGTATCATCCTGTTCTTGCGACGTGGGAGGGATGGTCCCTCTGATCGAAAGTGATTGGAGATTCTGACCAGCTGAGGAAGGAGGGGGCGGTCGTCTCGGTGGCACATGCCTCCCTATAGCGCACCTTGTGCTGGCGTTTTGTCCAAATGGCGTCGGACCTACCGAAGATCATGATGCACTCCTCAGGTTCGGGGAAGCCGTCTCCGTCCTTGCCTGCCGCGCCTCCTTTCTTGGCTGCCGATGCTGGAGCCGTCGCTCTCGCCCTCGTTATCTGGGAGTTCGTGGAAAGCGGTAGGAGTGTAGCTCGCCATTTCCATGAATTCGAATGTGAGGGGGGATGGCGCCAGCATCCTTCGAAGCCCCTGAGCGTACGCATCAGCTGAGGACGCGAGGCCGTAGGGGAACCGATCGTACGGTGTTTGCAGCATGGGTGAAACGGTCCCTCCGGATGATTGGTGGGAGATAGTAAATAGAGAATGAATAACAATACGCATATTACATACAGCGGGGTTTGAGCAGAGAGTTTGCTCGAAATGAAGCGCAGATGCCGCGTCGTCGAAGTCGTGCATCCCGGAGTCGATGGAAGGCGTCCCTCTGACGGGTGTCGGGACGTGAGCCTCCTCGCGGAGGTGTAGTACGCCGAGCCGGTCGGCGACGAAGTCTAGGCTTCCGAAGAGGAAGGCCTAGGATGGCTCGAAGATGGATGGAACCCGCATCCCACTTGGTGGGGGAGCGGGAAACTCGAGCGAGCCGAAGCGAATCGTATCGCCTGAGCCCGCCACAGCGAGGGTGGCAGAAAAGTGAGCCATCCGATGACCAAAAAGTGTTGAATGTACAACGTCCTCCCCACGGACGGCGCCAACTGTCGGTGCAGAAAGTGATCAACTAGTAAATATTTGTAGTTTTGCCGTACGTTGTGATCGGAGGTGGCCTAGCACTCAATGACACAGGGTTTATATTAGTTCAGGCAACGTGCCCTACGTCCAGTTTGAGTCGGTCGGTGACTTTATTCCTGAGCCTAGGTGCTTGAAGTTTGCAGTGGGGTTACAAATGAGAAGGAGAAGGATGGGGTGTACAAGAGGTCCGGTCGGAAGGGCCAAGAGCGACAGGAGCTCCGCTATGAGCTAAGTGTTCAAGCGTGTGCTTGGGGTTCAAACCTGGCGGTTCTGTGGTTGTGAGCTAGTGATCTTGGTTGATCTAATGAATCTGGGATGACTTATATGATCTTAAATCCATCGAAGAGAACTGTCCTACGTTGGAGGGAGCACATCCCCTTTTTATAGATGAAGGGGATGGCCTTACAAGTGAGAGGGAGAGAGTACGTTCGCTTCTAGCCTTGTTACCCACGCCGATGGGTACATGATTATGGTAGGCACCTACAACACTGTTGATGTCACTGTAGTATGTCAGATGCATGTGGGAGGTTTTGTCATGTTGTTTGGTATGGCAGATGTCGGTATCTGCTATACTATTGATGCCCAGAGACATGTGAGGGGTTTTCACCACGTTCACTCGGTACGGTAATTCCAGCGCCCACAACACTGTTGATGCCTAGAGGCATGTGGGGGGGGCCTTACCGTATGGGAGTTAATGGCGCCCACAATACTGTAGAGAGAAATGTCGGTGCCTACAATACTGTTTGTGTTGGGGCGGTTGCCAAGTATTGTTCCGTACAGAGTATGGTCCCTGGTACCGTGGTTTGACTTGTGAGCTTGCCTTGCTTTTCTCCGCACGTCTCCTAGTTCCTACCGAGTGGGCGTCCCCGGTCGGTTGATCCCAGTCGGCTCTGATCGTGCCAGTCGGAGAAGAGCGGTGAGCAGGGGCTGGGCGTATTCCCGATCGGAGAGTGTGCAATCGGAGTCGGAAGCGGTGCTTTTGGCCAGGCCTTCTGGTCGAAGAGGCCATTCGGAGGCGTGCTGGCAACCGGATCGAGCGCTCCGATCGGAGAGGTGGGTTTGAGCCGGAAAGCGGGCGCTGTTCCTTCTCGGCCTGACCTTCCGGTCGGAGATGGGATCACTCCTCCGGCCTGGCGCTCAGGTACTTGGGCCGGCCCATGAGTTGCGTGTTGTCTGCATGGGTCAAGCTTTGGCGTGGAAGCCGGTCCCTGAGGGACCCCGGGTTTACGAACCCGACAGTAAGCAAGCGTTGTAACAAGATATTGCAATGAACTATGGTTAATAGGATCCCGACAACAATTAAATGCCGCCGACAACACATTGTTCTAGTCTTACTATTGTACTAAGTGTGAACATAAGTTTGAAGCGAACATAAATATTGTTAGCACACAAGTAATGGTCAACCTATTAGTGCCAAAGCTATTAAGTTAGTTGCTGCGATCAACATCAACCCTAAGGGTTATCTGGAATCGGCTCCGACCCTAAAACATGTATATAAATAAGACTAAAGCTGATTTCTAGATTAAGGCTAATTTCTTCCAACACCTAAACCCATATAATCATTCTATTAGACGTAGTGAGGGGTTCAAAAGCACGGCTCCATGTTCTAGGAGGTTGCGCGCTTGCATCTCCATCAAGTTCTTCGTCAAGAGAATCTAACTCTCAATTGGTGAATATTTACATCTACTTCATCTACATCAAACCCTACTAAATCTACAAAGACACAAATGATATCTACAAACTCTAGTTAGTGTCTAAGATAAGTTTTTCGCACTAGGTATGTTAGTGATCATGTATAGGCTAAGAATAAGATCTTGTTTATGTCTAAGTTTATTTTAGCAATTAGTATTAGATCCCTTTGTGCTATGGTCATTAAGCACTAGTTTGCATGGTCATTATGTAATAATATCATTATGCACCCATTTCATGGGCCATGTGTGATGGATATTGCTACTACTCCACTTTACTTCAAATTAAACTCAATAAAATTCACATAAGTTGAAGTGAGAAGAGAGGGTGTTTCAACCCATTGATTCTTAATCATTTAGTCTAGCAACCATCACGCATAGACCGTTTATAATAAGAATTAATTTCACTAATTACATGGTCGATTTTTTATAAAAATATTTTTAACACCGTGATCCTCCGTCACTGCCTCGGTGCCTCTCGCCGCCTAGGGTTCCGATCCCCTCCGCATGGATTCGCTGCCGCGGAAGCGCAAGGGCGCAGCGCGCGCCGCGTGCTCCCTGGCCGGATCCCGCCACGACGCGCCTGCCGCCCGCAAGCGCACCTGCCGCGAGCCCAAGCCGCGGCCCGAGAAGACGAAGCCCTCCTCCTCCGCCGACGAGGGCTCCGCCTCCGCCCGGGGCGGCGGCGGCGTGGTGATGACTGCGCCGCCCGCGAGCGGCTCGCGGGCGGCGCCCGACAGCCCCGGGCGCGGGCTCAAGCGCAAGCTGGGCTGCATCGACTCGGCCACGCGGATGGGGCGGAAGAAGCGGCTCGACAGCGAGTACGAGCTCGGCGCCGAGATCGGGCAGGGCAAGTTCGGCTCCGTCCGGATCTGCCGCGCCAGGGCCAGCGGCGGCGACGAGTTCTTCGCCTGCAAGGCGCTGCCCAAGAACGGCGAGGAGACAGTGCACCGCGAGGTGGAGATCATGCAGCATCTCTCGGGCCACCCGGGCGTCGTCACGCTCAGGGCCGTCTTCGAGGACGCCGACAGGTTTTACCTCGTCATGGAGCTCTGCGGCGGGGGCAGGCTGCTCGACGAGATCGCCAGGGAGGGCAAGTTTTCTGAGCAGCGTGCTGCCATTGTGATCAAGGATCTCATGGCCGTGCTCAAGTACTGCCACGAGATGGGTGTTGTGCACAGGGACATTAAGCCGGAGAATATTTTGCTTACCAAGGCTGGGAAGGTGAAGCTTGCTGATTTCGGACTCGCTGCACGGGTCACTAATGGTAATTTTTTACTACCATATGCTATATTACTAGCTTTCAGTCTGAAGCTCAAGACGAATAAGATCAATTTCTTGAAAATCTAACATAGCGAAACATGAACTGGGCAGTCCCACATTGGTTCTCCCATGTTAAATAATATAATGTGGTGTTACAAAGACTAATTGATGGCTGTACTTAGCTGCACTGCGTCCAATCTTTCAGCTATATTTTCATGTTGTGGTGCCATGTTCTTAGAATTCCTCTTCATACAAACTCATATTGTTTTACCATGATTGCTTAGCATTTTTGCAGGTTGCCCATATATGGCCTTGACTTGAGTATCAGCTAGTGTGATGTAAATGAGTTGGGAGCCAAACATATTCGTCTATGGTCTAGGAACCTAAGTGAGCCATGTAGCTCTGGTGTTCCTGCCTTGGTTGTGTAACCAAGCAAATGAGGCTAACTCAAGTACTCATCCTTTCTTCAACGCATGAGCTCCCTCATCTCTGGAGTCCTCCTTAAGTTGGCAACAGTTGATGTCTGTCTCAGTGATATTTTTTGTGTTCCTTCTGGGTTTGAACTGACAATTGATATGATCTTTTGTGTGGTGTACATTAGTCTGTAAGAAGAAATGCTGCCCTCAATACTTGCTCAGAGGAATGAGTGCAAGCTGTGTTTTTTTGGAGTCATGAGTTCATAGCAAGTGTCCATTCACATTTCATCCCCTCTTGCTAGGTATGATAAGATATTTGAGACCTGGTGCTAGGAAATTCGTCATATTGAGTTTTTTGTCTTCTTCCTTTGAATTTCAAAGTTGACTTACATTGATGCACAAGACAATGGTTTATGACGCCCCCAATGTGCTAAGAGTTTAAGTGGACTTTGCTACCATTGGTCTTATCTCTCATAGTCTAGTTATGTAACTAACTAATTAGAATAACTCAGTTTTACTAAGGCCTAACATTTTCTTTGAAAGAAATACTAAGGTCTAACATTTATAGCTTTCTTAGTTTGCTAGGTATTGATGTTTAGGTTTCTTTGCTATCCTGCTTAAGTTCAGGCACTGCTTCATACTGATGTTTTGTGCTGTGTTTTTGGAATCATGAACTGGTAGCAGGCAGGTATCATTGTGTCATCCGTCTTGCTAGGCATGCCAAGAGGCAAGAGAGTTAAAGCCTGGTGCGAGTTGATACTCTTTAATGGGTTTTTGTTTTGGTGTGCTAGAGCTACTTCTGTTGTTGGCATGGAAAATTGGATTTGATGTTCTTAACTTACACCGGCTGACAAGATTATCCATAAGTTAGTGTTATGGTCTTTCAGGCATGCCATAAGCTGTCATGTTTCATGTTCTGAATGCTGTTGAGTCAGTTTTATGCATTAGAAAATGTTGCGACTTCTGAATGGAACTATAGAATCTACTTCCTCTGTTCTAGTTGTTCTGGCTTTTTTTTCTAGATACATGGTTTTTACTATGTTAACTATGTATCTGGACATAGCGTATATCTGGTGCATAGCAAAATCTATGTACCTAGAAAAACCAAAATGACTTACATTTTGAAATGGAGTATAATTTTGGGGTCGTATGGAGAACCGGGGGGCAGTAGTTGCTTATATTTCGTACGGTATCAATGGATTTTTGCAAATCTGCAATGTTCAACTTTTGCTTCAAAATGTCTTGTGTACCCACTTACAGCCAGAACTTACCATGCTGTATTGTGGTTCATATACCTGGATTGCAAATAGCCCAAACCTACATCTATTGTAATGTAAAAGAATTTCTAATGAGATTCTCTGGATTAACTTAAAGTGTTCTGTCTGCCAATGAGTGACAAATTCATTATTTCCAACACGGCAACACCCTGCCGGCACTAACCTATCCTGAAACATTCGAGCATTTTCCTGTTATACAGTAGCATCTCTATTTTTATGCTTCATCTTGTGATTGGCATAAATGCTACATCTATAGAGGGTTTTACATGCATGTTTCTTGTGGTTGTGGCTGTAGAATCTGTGGTTTGTATTTGCTGCACTAGACATAACTGTGTGTGTACATGTTTTGTACTAGCTAACATGTGGTGTATGCATTGAGCAGGTCAGAAATTGTTTGGTGTAGCAGGGAGCCCAGCATATGTGGCACCTGAAGTTCTTTCTGGAAGCTATTCTGAGAAAGTTGATATTTGGGGTGCTGGTGTGCTACTACATTTACTACTACTCGGTTCACTTCCATTTCAAGGTGTCTCTCTGGATGCCGTTTTTGAGTCCATAAAGACTGTTGAACCTGATTTTAGCAGCAGCCCATGGGAATCAATATCAGTTCTTGGGCGGGATCTTATTGGCCGAATGTTGAATCGAGATGTCTCTTCTAGAATGACTGCTGATGAAGTTCTCAGTAGGTTCAAGCTTCAAAGAGTTTCTCATTTAGCATTGTTGTATTTTTTTGAGAATGACTTTACTTACTGATACCTATTTCAGGTCACCCATGGGTCATGTTTTACACAGAATGCCCCCTGAAGGTGGTAGCTGCTAATTTGTGTCTCACTAACAAGATTATAGCACCCAAAATTCCATGGGACAGACACAAGTCAGAATGTGGCTCCGTGTCAGACTCAAGCCAAAGGTCAGAAGATCAGGATGAATGTGGCTTGGTTGACGCACTGACAGCAGCAATAACCCGTGTTAGAATATCAGAGCCAAAGAGAAGTCGGCTCTGTAGCCCTGCAATCACCATTCAGCAGGAATGCTCTTCAAACTTGAAGAATAATCTTTGCACGGCTTTCTGACCTGACCCAATGTAGCACCTGATCGGAATGGTGCCCATTTTTCTCGCTGTGAAGGTTGTTCTGATTTAGGTGTTGTAGAGCCGAGGATAATAACTCAGGTTTTCCGGCAAAGCACCAAGCCGTTGGTATGTAGTGTTTCTTTCGGTGTCGATGAACCCCACAGTTTTAGCTGCTGTAAATTCTGTAAATAGCATGATCCTTTCCCAAGCTGTGCATGGGTTGCTAATTTATGCCATCAGAACCGTTTGACGCAATGTTCATAATTCATGAACGTATTGTGCAAGACCTGTCTTCATTTGCCATGCCCATGCTTGTCTTCCAAAATGATATTTGGCACACGCATCATGTGCCCCGATGCTCATGCGCTAGCTTTGTACTGTTCTAAATTGCAAGTCTTTTAGGCTTTTCTAGTATGTTGTCCACATGTATCTAGAAAAGTCATGCTGATTTACAATTTGGAATGAGTGTAGTAGTATTGAATTTCTATGGTATGGATCTAAATCTAATTCAAATGTAAACATAGCTCTTCTGATTAATAGTTCGAATGTAAACTGAAATCATAGTTCACGAAACACATTTCACAAAGTTTACTTCAGCAAGGCTTCGCAAACGCACCTATCTCCTCCCATCTCTTTTGTTTTATTTACTTTAGGGTCTGTTTGGAATGCAGGAATTTCACAGGAAAAAAGTAGAAATAGGGAAAAATTCCCGCATTCTAAACAACCCTTTAGTAAATGAATTTGCGGCAGTTTCTGTCTCTTCTGTTTTTTATTTATTATATAAATGAATATGCGGCAGTTTCTGTCTCCATCTACTTTGGCCTGTTCGTTTGAACTTATCAGTCGTATCGTTTCAGTAAAATAACAGTGTTTTTCTCTCACAACAAATCAGCATCAGCCGTTTTTCAGCCAGTCGAACAGGCCTTTGTTTCTTCTCTTTTATCAGATTTAAATGAAAAAAAACATGATCCGCGAGGGGTAAGACAGCCCTCGGGCATTGTGTTTAAGAAGAATACCTTATCGCGTAGCTCGAGAAAATCCCTGAACATCTACCCCACCCATACACAGCGGCACCGTAGCTCCCATAAGACTGGGCTGGCCTTAGACCTGTGCTTTGGCGTGGAGCAAACGAGGGGATTTTTTTTTAACGCGCAGATAAACTACGCCTACTCCGGCCAACAAATCCGCCCCAGATGGGGTTCGAGCTCTGACGGCAGGGTGCAAAGCGCAGAGCCAGACCAACTAGTCTAGCATTGATTTACGATGATTTCTAGCCCCGAGGCATCTGTCTGACGCAGATGGCTACAGGGCCGTTTTCGCCGATCTACCAAGCGGTAAGTCTTGAGCGTTGATGTCCAGCCTGTTCGACAGGCTGGTTCGTTTCGTTGCTGGTTCGTGAAGAAGTACTACTGACTGGTTTGTGTGAGAGAAAAATATTGTTCCGGCTAGAAATTTACGATCGTATATGATCGTTTTCCTCCAGCCGAATAGGCTGGTCGTTTTCGCAGCGGGCCATGGTAGGCGAGTTCCGCTTTAGATAGGATGAGTGGCTGTTTTTACTTATTATAAAATAACTGACATACTCCTCCGTCACTATTTAAACGGCGTCATGGAAATCGTGTCAATCATTTGACTAAACTTATATAAAATATTAACAATATTTTTATTTTTGAATAAATTTATTATAAAAACAGATTTGAGGAAAAATTTCCTACTCCCTAGAGTAGTTACTCCATGCTGCTAACCACGCACCTTAGGCTTGCCCACCCACGCCAGGACTCTTTGAAATGGATACCGGGTGTGTATCAGGAAAACCCGTTAAGAACCAACGATCCTAATTTATCGTTCCTTATATATAATCGCCGATCCGGCCCCTTGCATCGCATCTCTTATTGCTGGCGATCCCTAGCAGGATGTAGCTTGGGGCTGGAGCGTTCGGCGATCGCCGTCGGAAAGCTGGTGGTCACTGATCACTACCCCGCCAGGGATCAAGTCCACGTTGCACCGCCGTCGCCGATCACTGCGCGCGTCACCAGGGGTCCCGTCCACGTTGCATCGCCGATCACTGCGCCACCAGGTATCCCGTCCACGCTGCATCGCCTTTGACCTCTACTGAAATTCTGGCAACCACACGTCTTCAACCTCCACTGGATGGGGCATTTTTTATTATTTTTAAACCTTTTTTAATCAATACTTTAATACTAATCTAAAAAAAGTATTTACAAAACTGATCCTTTTTGTCACGCCAGCGGGGGTTGGCGCGACAGTACCACTCTGTCGCGCCACATGTGCTGGCGCGGCAAGCCGAGCCACGGTGGCGTCCGTGGTTGACCGATGCTAGCGTGGCATAGCGTGGACTCCACACTGTCGCGCCAGCAAATCCGACGCGACAGCGCTGCGCGACAGGGCGTTATAAGGCCGCGCGGCCCATCTGCTTTCTCCTCTCTCTTCCTCACTCCCTCAGTCATGTGAGAAGGGCAATGTTCACGATGTCTCCTCTTTCTCTCTCTTCTCTTTCTCCTCATTCTCTACCTCTCTTTGATCAAGTTTGGTTTTGGATTTTTGGTTCCCTTGGTCTAGTGCATGAGGTATGCCTCTCTCGTCCTCTGTTGTTTTTTTATGTGGTTGACTGCTATGGTTTATACTGCTGTGTGCAATACTGGCTTTTGCTTTGTTAGGTGATACTTTGTTGCCCTAATCATGAGTATTATTAGGATTCCATTTTTAGATGTTAGACTATTGGTAGTGGTTGGCACTGTTCTAGGGTTTGAATGCAATGTTTGGATAGGTGTCTGGCTTGGCCTGTGCTAAGTAAAGTTACCTCTAAGTCGGTGATTTAAAGTTAATTTGTACTGATTAGATGTATGGATAGGTTAGACTGTGTATATACAGAGATGGTTTGAAGTCCATGAGGTTGTGTCTAGGGTTTCATATCATGTTTTGATAACTTTGCTTTGTTCAACTACTTTGTAATATGTTCAATGGCGGTTCCAAATAACAACCAATTCGTGCACCATTCGAAGGATCATGGTGGTATCGGTCCTTTCCTACCAGCAGAGCCAACACCGTTGTGTTACTATTGATTACCGGCATTGTGAAGTAGTCAAGGCATCCCGCGTTAGCTGGGCGTGCTTTCTACTATTGCCAACTTAAGCGTCGTCCCCTGACACTTGATGCCTACCTAGAGGGATGCAGCTTCTATCCGTGGATTGATGGCGATGAAATGTTTGATCTGTCGATTATGTTGTTTGCTTATGACCATGGGAAGAGCGTTCCATATTCGAAATATATTCGTTGGGTTCCGCCACCACCGAACCCTCCGAAAATGACAAAGGCGGAGAAGGTTGACGCTGCTTTGCGCCGTCTAGCCAATCCTCCTAAATGCAATTGTGGAGTGTCGACGCTACTAACTACTCGCAGCCAATGTGGAGCATTCACTACCTTCTATCGCTATGGATTGCCAGATTATATAAGTTGTCATGAAAGCAATCTATCTCTAAGCTTGTATACATTTTGCACATACAATGTTACACTTGGAATATTTGTTTTTTGCAGAGAGGGTTCCTGTCTTGTGACTTTGAGGAGTACAACTATGGACCCAAATTGCACTGGCCTTTTGACTATGAATTTGCGGAGTTTGAAGCAGGCATTAAGCCATGGCCATGCATAAAGATGCCGGAGCGTAAGTGCAAGTGTGGCATCAAGGCTCACGAAGGAGTTGTTCCGTTTGAGCTAGGATATGGATACTACTTGGTTGTACGCCTCTTTCCAATCGCCCCATAGCAACTCTATAGCATGTTGCTTTGCACGCCATGCCTTTGAGTACTTCACTCTATAACCAGTGAACCCAAATATGGTCTCGATCAAGCTTGAAACAGATGTGTCACTATTAGCCCTAACCGAGCCAACAAGACGACGACCAAGGTAACGGGCTGTATTTTGGGCATGCACACCCTTCGGCTTCGAAGATCGACACGTGTGAGGTTGCCTCACAATGCAAATCTTTCACTTTTCATTTCTCAGCCTTCGAGCCCATAGACCCCATTGACATCCATTCTTGCAAAGCACCGTGTACCTCTTGTTCTTGTCGGAGTGGGTCACATAATACGACCTGTGAAACCTAACGGCATAATATATCAGGAAATCCTTGAGATGCTCCAAAGTATCAAATACCATTCCCTTCTTAATCTCTACCTCCTCACTATCTGGTACCTCATCGGCCAACAACGTTAAACTGGTGTCACATATTGCCTCATCAACCGTACTAATGTCCATGAAATTTGGTACCGAGGGTACCTCCACATGGACAACCTTTAATTGCCTCAATTCAACGTCATTGTACTCCATTCTCAATGACCCATCAGCTGGGACTCCTATTGCGTCCGCAAACCCTCCCTCACAACAATCACTTTCGCCCTCGCTGCGAGGCTCAGACCTGTACTCGTCCTCCAACACATCATCCGAAGTACTTGGCCCCGAAGTCAAGTCATCTTTGTCCGTGGAGGCAACATCAACTTCGTCATCCTCCGATCCTTGAGATATGTCGTTCATATCATGTGTTCCATCTCCGTTGCCATAGTCCTCATCAAACGTTTCTTCATCAAAATCATCATTTAAGGCACCGGGCTCACATGATCTATCAACTTCTCTAACGACAACCGCCTGTAACTCTTCGTCTTGGGTAAGGTTCTCTACGGGCTTCACATCCACAACCACTACAATTCGGCTAGACCCCTTCTCCACAACAACTTCCAAGCACCTAACACTGCTACTCTTGACAACCTCTATGTAATTCTTCCATTCATCCTCACATGACAAAGACATCAACACATAATGTGCCCATTCCTTCCCACAATCAAATCTGTCTCTCAAACTTAGTGGCCACCCAAATTTATTCCGGCACTTGCTAACCAAAGCATCAAAGCTAGGAGGTCCACTAAAGAATTCAACATGTTCGTGCATGCTTTCAAACTCCCCGTTTCCTTTCACTTTGCCACCATG